CTAAAATTATTGGGAAAAGATATCAAAAATCTAAAAAAAAACAAACACATTTTTTCGCATTTTTAAAGAAAATTCACGTGCAAAAATATTTTTTTTTGTAATTTATCGGGACATAAAGTTGGACTCAACCACAAAACATAAACTTTTTTGTTTTGCTGAGAGTCCAATATTTTTTCATGATGAGATAGAAAAACTATTTTTAAATGTAAGTTTTCAAGAATCTAAGGAAGAAACTGATTTTCTTGGATTTTTTATATTTTTTCCAATGTTTTTAGAGAAAGAAAAACGTGCCAAAAATATGTTTTTATTTTCGGGGTGTTAATCTTCCCCTTAATATCCCTAATTTGGGCCCATACATAAATTCAGCAATCGACTGAATTTTCAATAGCGACCAAAATATCCATTAGTACCGTCCCAATGACGCGTTCATCTAGATAAAATTGATAAATAGCAGATTCTTAGTGATGGGCCAAATCTTAGATCCATAGGCTAACATTAGAGTCATTTCACCTTTCTGTTTTTTGTCATGCGGTGGAATGACATAGAGGCCCACTTTACCAAACTATGCCACAAAGTACTACTTTTCGGCACTGAAAAGAGTGTCGAAAAGTAGTACTTTTCGGCACTTTTCTATTACCTTACCTTACCAATCAGACTAAGGCCTTGTCCTTATCCTCTGCTGTCCGAAGAAGTCGTCTCCACTCTACTCGATCCATGGCCACACTTCGCCAGCCTCGTAGTCTGCGAAGGGTCCGCAGTTCGCCTTCTACTTGGTCGATCCTCCTTGCCTGCTGAGCACTTCTTCTTATTGTTACTGGTGAGTCGCTTTCGAGAACCATTTTCACTGGGTCGTCGTGCGGCATTCTTATGACGTGCCCAGCCCACCTTTGTCGCCCAATTTTTGCAATGTGGACGATGGATGGTTCTCCCAGCAGCTGGTTCAATTCGTGATACATTCGCCTACTCCACGTTCCGCCATCCATCAGCACTCCACCGTAGATCGTACGCAACACCTTCCGTTCGAAAGCACCACGAGCATAGTCTAGGTCTCGTGGCCGTAGAGGACCACCGGTCTAATCAGCGTCTTGTAGATAGTCAACTTCGTGCGGCGGCGAATTTTATTCCCGGAGTCCAAAGTAGGCACGGTTCCCTGCCATAATGCTTCTTTGAATTTATCTGCTGGTATCATTTTCAGTGGTCACCAGTGAACCCAAATACACGAACTCATCGACCACCTCGATTTATTCACCGTCAATCTGGACTCGGGTGGGAGGCTAACATTGTCTTCCCTAGAACCTCTTCCTTTCATGTATTTTGTCTTCGATGCGTTACGTTTCCGCCATCGTCTTAAATTTCCATGCCATGATGTCGATGTCATCGGCGAAGCGAAGAAGCTGGATGGACTTCCGTCACTCGTCGTGCCACTCGTGTCTTTCCCAGCTGTTATGATCACACCTTCTAACGCGATGTTGAATAGCAGACACGAAAGTCCATCACCTTGCCGTAGCCCCCTTCGAGATTCAAAGGGACTCGAGAGTGTCCCCGATACTCGAACAACGCACATCACTCGATCCATCGTCGCCTTGACCAATCGCGTCAGTTTATCCGGAAACCCGCACTCGTGCATAATCTGGCATAGCTGATCTCGATAGATTGTGTCGTATGCGGATTTGACATCGACGAACAAATGTTGTGTGGGCACGTTGTATTCGCGGCATTTCTGCAGAACCGAATCGTTAAAATTTGGTCCACGCGGGCACCCATGAATCCCGCTAGGTATTGCCCTACGAACTCTCTTGCAAATGGTGACAGGCGGCGGCATAAGATTTGGGAGAGTTCCTTGTGGGCGGCGCTCAGCAGTGTGATCGCGCGGTAGTTGCAGCAATTCGACTTGTCGCCATTTTGTAGATTGGGCATCCGATACTGACGTTCATACGCAGTTGCTCAAGTTATGCAGGCAAAACAATTATCTCAAACGATGTTTTCGACGTTGCATAAATGTTGTATGCAACTCATTAGACTCGTGATCAAAAAAAATCTCCTTTTCGCAATATGATTCATAAATAACTAAAGGCTGACTACAAGTAAAGTGGTAACAAAAAGAATTATAATTCGTGATTCAATAAGTTTGAAAAGTTCATTAATGGTTGCTTTACAGTATTTTTATTAAAACGTCAAAGTAACAGCATTAGATGATTACATTTCTCCAGTTCGAACGAAATCTCGAACCATCTTCTTGATGGAGCCCATCAGCGCCCGCACAGTGGAACCGGACACGGAATCAGCGCATTTCTTTCATTTTGCCCGCATTCGCTGGATGTCCATGACTGCCCCGCCGCTTCGTGCTACTTTAAAATTGGTCGATTGGTCGAAATTCCGAGCAATTTGGAGGATGCATTAGCTTGGGGACAAAATTGATCTTCTTGGCAGCATACCACTCCAGAACAACCTTGGAGTAGTGGCAGCTGACCAAGTTGGGCCAAAAGATGATTTTGCTCCTATGCTTGCGGATGAACGGCAATACACGCTTTTTCAGGTATTCTTCGATGTAAACTTGGGATGTCATCGTCGAGGTTGTGACGAATGGTTCCGTTTTCAGGCCACAACTGCAAATCACTTGCCAAATCATGGCAAGATATATTGGAAGGGATTTTGGGATAAGAAAATTTGGAATAGAATAAATGAAAATTATTCTCAGTGTTCACTCGGCTGTCGACAAAAGCAGGCCACTCTCGATGTGTGCTACGCGATCGTCTGTTTTCTCGACAGCAACCATTGTGTGGTCCTCCTCATTGTTCTTCATCAGCAGTTCTTTCGGTCGATGCGTCGTCGACTTTGGAAAGCAACCGGTTCGTGATGAGTGTATGAGTGCTGACCACGTTTTGTGTCCATTGCTGCAATGGATGCGCTCTGACCCTCGTTGGCATACAACAATTTGCCATACAATGAAACTACTGGAAGCGGCTCCAGTTCTGATGGAGGAGGCTTTTTGGATAGCGGAAGATAACGTGTTTATTGTGTTGTACCTTTTGACTATAGTTTTAAGATGTATTGTATAGTGACCAAGAATCCTCGGCTCTGTAAAGTTAATTCGGTTGAGCCTTATCAAATAAATTAATAAACAAAAAAAGAAAATTATTCTGGGAAAATAAGAAAAGAAGACGTTGGCTACTGGTCTAAAACAGAACTCCAAGCCTTAACCTCTTGAAATATCAAGCAATATGGATCGAACAGTGCCAAATTGAAACCAATAGTACCATTACTTGGTACATGTTATTGAGAAACTATTGTGTTACTGGAAAAGTTATTAAAATAGTCAGTGAGCAGATTATAGAATCAGGTAAAACCAGAAATTCCAGAAAACCTATAGCAAACCCTTAGTTGTTCTTCCCCAAATTCCCGAACATATCAAGACTCATTGGAATGTTTGCCAAAGTGAGGTTAGGACTCGCATAATCGCGTGAAACTTCCAGGTACCAGGTGCTAGGATTCTCCGCTAAGTGGCCACATGTACGTGAACCGTTCGTGCAAGCCTGCAGTTTTACCAGCTCGTCGTGGAACGAGTGCTAAAAGCGAGCTCGACGATCACCCGATTGTTATCACCATCGTCAGAAGCATCAACTCCCAGAAGCTTGATCCCGACGTCGCCGGCCGGCTCCCTCACACTACACACTCACATCACACATCGTAAGTAGATACACAAAGAGATAAAAAGGCATAGTGACCGTGTGGTTTACCCTTTTGATCCATGTCCCTCATTTTTGTCCAGAGCCGACTTTGAGAGCTTCGCCTCTCAATCTTTGCCAAGTCGCCGCAAAAGAGGCTGGTGAAAATCGCACCCCGCTGGTCTCCGTGGCTCTAAATCAGGGACCTGGGGAATTGCATTAGAAGAGAGATAGAAGAGCGAGTAACAAATTCAAGTCGCTCTGCAAATATGATACACGTTCAAAGCGTACCAGACTTACCGTGTTGCTCCCGATTAGAACGTGTTTTTTTTTCATGCAAGGCTAGTGGTGCAAAGCACCATGTATAGTAAACAATTTGTGGTATATTTCAAGCATTATTTAATTTTATCTACAAGTGATGAAAATTCTGGCAATCACTTGGCCTACATCAGGCATTTAACCAGTCAAAAACATGCCGATGCCAGCCCGACACCATAAAAAGGCTCGCTTTTAGGTGGACTATTTAACGAGTTTAGTCATGTTAGGGATAAATCAGTGCATCTGAAGTGAATTTAAAAAAAAATTAACATTCTGAGTTGCATAAAATGAGACCGTTACGTAATAAATAGAGGGTGGGAAATTAAAATTTTTAGCGTTGCAAACTATACATACAGCAAATAAAACGGTGTGCCACAGGCTCAATTTTATGTCGAGTCAACTCTCAGTGCCAACATTTCAAAAGAGGGAAATTGCTTTTGTAAACAATGGCTCAGCAAAACTATTTCTACATAGTTTAAGAACAGTCCCATACAAAACTTTGTTCAAAAATAAGTTTCACTTCAACTAAATTTGGATTGTAAAATCTGTGAACGGCATTTCACAGCGCTACCATCGAAACATGAGCAACGAATCGAAAAACAACAAATAATCGAGAGATTTCAACCGCTACCAACTGTCTGCTTCATTACCCGAAGAAAAAAGAGGTGTTGTTTACTCATTCACCGCCTCCCAAAGTTTACTCCTGCGGAAAAAAAACTATATAATTGAACGCAACCCGAAGATGTTCGTCTTTGGCTGTATCATCGCTTTTAACGCGTTCTTTTATTACGATTCTCTGGCAGAGAGGAACAGAGAAGTGATTTCAACTTTTGATTTGATTTTGGCACATTAGAAACGTAGAACGCTGAGTTGAAGTGAATTAGTCGAAAACTTTGCCAAAGAAAATGATCTGCTTTTTCGTTGATGATCCACAATGGGAATGGTTGTTAAATTGAAACAAAGGAGAGGAATCAAACAGGTTTGTTTTTTATATTCCAGGGTACGTATAAAAACTACAAGGATTGTAAAAACCCGCCTCAGTATCTCGCTTGTAAAGCTACGCGTAGAAAGGCGGTAGAAATCTTTTGAGTATCACATCATGATCAAAGTAATTTTATGCACTATAAACTTCAACGCTTGCTAATAGATATTTATATTTTTAGGAATTGATAGTACTTAGTGCGTTGATTACGCTATGCGTTAGTATTCCCACGATGGAACTGAAACAATCCATTGCGCCTGCTGTGCAGAACAGTCCCATTGTAATTTTACCGGAGAGCGATGATGCGCATGAAGAATTGGAAACTGCAGAAACTGCCCATCGTGGTCATCATCACCACCATCATCATCACCACCACCACGGACATGGTCACGGCTACGGCTATGGAGGTTACGGCCCTGCTCATGGTGGACTTAGAGGAGGAGTTGGTGTAGGAGTTGGAGTTGCAGTTGGCGTAGGAGTCGGTGGAGGTTTTATTGGTCGGAAATAAACATATATCCGTGGTGAATAACAGTTAACATGCACAAATTACATCACATCTCGTTTGTCAGCCATGATTAGAGAGTACGTACTCAGAAGCTTAGCTTCAATTTGACTTAGACTCAAAGAAATTGATTTTCTTACTTAACTCTCCCTGCAAAGGGAAAAGTTTTTATTTCAAAATTGCACATCCAATATTTGTATTGAAAAAGATGTCTATCTGAATATGCAGACAAATGTGTTAATTTTAACAGAACTGAGTATTCGACCTGAAACTAATCCATGGTGGTAGCCTGCTGGACTTCAATCTTCAAAGTGGTGTCAATAGTTTCTGTGGATGAAGCAAACAGAATAATTTCAATCAAGCACATGTTTTGAAGTTTTAGAAATTTTCTGCAAAATATGAGCTTTTAACCATTTTATTCTTTAGAAAAAGTTATGATACATATACACAACGAAAAAAAATATAATTTTAATGGTTGTTAATGAAAATATCGAAACATGTTGCAACATTTTCGTTCATAATTTTTTCACATATTTTTTGTTTGTTTTCCAAATAAATCGGAAACAGCTGGTTGAAACTTTGGCATCTTCAGAAGAGTTGCGCATTTTCTACAAGATAAACAACTTTTCTGCAAAAAGAATTATGAACTATCTGTTTACGCCAATAGATAATTATCGATATAGCTTCTTCCAAGGTACCAAGCCTCGAAAATGCTTGGTACCTTGGAACAATGAGAGAATGCTTAGTATCTTGGGAAAATGAGATATTGAGTGTGTCGTCCAAATTGCATTTCTGGCCCATTGTGTGCGGTGGATACAAAAATTCAGTCTAGCTCGGCAAAAGCTCGTACAGGCTGGCTTGCGACCACATATTCCAGTTTGTTGCATAGTACAGTCAAATCTCAGTCCAATACACAATTGCGCCTAAGCGTAGGCAATTTCATAAAAAATCGGTTGAAATTTAACAGAAAATTTCTTATTTTTAAATATTGGAAATTATTTTTTTGGAATGTTTTACATAATTTGTATTCTGTAACTCTTGGTTTAGCCGACAAATCACTTTCAAACTTGTGACAATAGTCGTTACAGCTGTGGAAAGTCACGGCATTTATAACCGTATGCGTAATAACCAGAGTTAATGTACGCGTGCATGCATCCCGCGTGATAGAGACACGCTTTCTATCAGATCGTATATTTCGAGACGAATTATTTCGCGTCTCTTTTTTGTTCCTACGTGCCACATTCGTGTCACATGTGCTGTGTCTCATGAGCTAAACTGGGCGAGCTCCGGGAGATCAGCAGCCAGAGTTACATTTTCTTCGTGTGTGCAAAATTGTGCTGCCGAGATTCTCAACAAACCGTCTCCCGTCGCAACGAAAACAACATGTGACGAGCGAGAAAGAGACACGTGAGACTATGTTTTCGTTTTTGCGGTGTAGCACTGGTGTAGTGTAAGTAGGAATAAGCGCGAGTCTTTGACAGCTCAACATCATTTGTTTGTAAACAAAGGTGCATCCTATATCTACACCCTAAAATATTTCGGTGTACGGCAGTGTTGCACCGGTGAAGCTACACCGCAAAAATGAAAACGACATAAGATACGAGCGAGAAACAAATGGGACACCCAAATATCCTGGCGTGCGCGAGGCTCGCGCTGATCTCATGTGCCTCATCTCATGTGCTACGATTAATGCTAGAACTGTAGAGCTCGAAGTTCTGGAAGGTCTAGGTAAGCGAAATACAGGCTGTTGAAACTTGGTCGCTTTGACCGACATTTCATTTGCGTTTGCACAAACCACTCCTATTTTAGAGGAAAGGTAGCAAATATTTGCAGTGCTTAAATTCTTGAAATCCTCTAATAGCCAAAGCCATTTATTTGCTGGTGAATTAGAAAATTCTAAGTTTATTTTTTTCCGGTTCAACACTTAACTGCACTTGCATGACTAACATCTTTTGACACGTTATTTTCAAAATATGCAATGGACAAAAATTCTACAAAAAGTGTATCGGTATTGTTTACTACAGGGATTACAAATTTTGAACGTAAATTAAACATTCATCGGCAACGCAACTGGTATGCATTGTTGCAAGGGATTTTACGTATTCTGAATGTTACCAACGCAGCAATATTATGATTATTCAACGGGTGGAAGAACTAAAGCAGAACATTTTTTTCTTGGCGTATTACCTTAACGCTTTCACTTGTACTTTGTAACCATTACGTTAAAAATGTTCAGATATTTTTTAAAGTGCCTCATGTGATTGAGCATTCAAATAAATTCTATAACAGAAGCAATTGCGCGGTCTATGCTAAATCGTTTCAGCAAAATAGTGACATGAGTGGGCATCCTTGGTTTTAACTCGAATGAGCGTGTAGACCGGTGCACTAATATATTTACCATTTCAATTATTAATATCACCAAGTCTACCGACCTTTTGTTTTGAGTCAACTATACATAGAAGTCAAGGACCATTTCTCTACGGGTTTCGATGGCATTCTTTTCGCGTCGATGTCCGTAATGACTAAGAAGATTATAATATATAGTTCGATAATGAGCGACCTACCTTTGTATACCAACAGTGTCAGAAGGAAGCGCCTGAGTATCGGGACCAATTCCACAAAGCGACCGCCACTATCTTGCTACAACAAACGGTTGACCAGAAAGTCGTACAGCCATCGCTACAACCTGCAACAGATCTACCAATCAAATCAATATGTTTTCACCAGGATTGGCGCAGCACCGGAATATGATTAAAAATCTCGTCGCATCCGCTCGCCGGATTGCCAGAGTGTATGGTTTAAATTTGGAAAGTTGATCAATCCGTTTGAAAAATTATGATATTCGAAAACTTAAGCAACATTCATTAAGCACGAGTCATCCTTTTTTTTTGCAATTCGCTTATTCAGATCAAAAGAACATCAGTCAATGCTGATCTTTTTGTACTTCTTGGCTGTCTAGGGAGCATATCTGAAAGAATATGTTGTACGAGGAGGTGGTGATAATCGATATTATGATAGCCCTTAGGAAGCCGATAAAGCATGCACAAACGAAGCCCTGCATGAAACGGTTTGCAGATCTGTCGATATTCGATGCGTTGCAAGCAAAAAATATATAGGAAATCGATTTAGATCTACATTGTAATATTTGTTTTGTCCTTCGGCTCCGCAGAGCTTTTAAAGATATTGAGCCCACTAAATAAACATTTTGGAAAACATTGTTTTCGATTCAAACACTGACTGTTGAGTGAGTATGTTAGATTCATCCCAAAATTTACAATCCAGTTTTCTTATTTCTCATAATATTTTCAGGTTGACTACTACTTGGGACTAACACACCATGCTTTTTTTTCTAAATATATTTCAACAGTTCTCAAATTTAAGTGCATGTTAGAATTAACTAGTGATGTTATCGGCTACAGCTTTGAACGGCTGAAACTACTGTTGGATGAATTCACACTTATCAATTTCAACAACGAAGATATTTTTTTAAAGGGCCTACCGAATTATTGATTCTCTGCCAGCTGCGAAGTACTTTTTATATTATGATGATTTCAATTTGATCCACCAAGCTCAATCGGTTCCAAATCAGGCTGATCAATCTCCCAAAATTTGAGCTAATTTGGTGGCGAACTCATTCTGCACTCTTTGAAGTTTATATGGAAATTACTATAAGAAAAGTGTACTTTTAGTCCTCATCGTTCCAGCACTACACCATAATGATTTACGAAAAATATGTCTATAAAAACCCCTCCCCTTACGTGAAATTTTCCCAGCTACAACTATGTTGAAAACCACTTTTTAATTGAACGTCAAGAAAATTAGTTATTAATTAATTTCCAAGTTGATAACTTTCAGGTAGGATTAATCGGCTGCTTTCAGGGCAACACTGCAGCCTGCCCTCATGACATAATAGCCTGGATTGTTTGTCCTATTATTCCAATGTTGTCTACTGAGTAGTAAATGGAGCATGTCAGAAGAACATCATCTTCCTAATCAATTAATAAACTTCAAAGGGCCAAGTGCAGTATGAGTTCGCATCCTAATTCGATCAAATTTTGTGAGAATGATCGGGAGCTGATTTGAAATCGTTTGACTTTGGTGGAGCATAATCAATATTTTGGACAATGAAAATTCCATGCGCAAGGATCGGTAACAAATAACCTCGCCCGTAATTGGTCCATAATTGTTTAACTCATATTCCGCTTGAAATACTTCTATAAAACCACAATCTCTCAACCCTCAAAAACTGAATACCAACTGATTCAACAATTCAAGTGTACCAGCAACACGAGACAGGGCTACACTCGATCAACAGTTCTCCGTTGTTTTCTGTATCACCAACCAGCCACTTTTAGCATGCCCGCAGGACGAAGGTACGCTGCCGTTATAACACATTTAGAAAAAATCATGTAAATTTAGGTGCTCTGAGACTGACATATACGAGCGTCAATTTTGACATAAAATTGAGTCATAACAGACACGAAATTCAACTCAATCAAATGTACTTTTCGTCGAGCAACGAACTTTTCAGTCTCGAGGCACTTAATTTTACATGTCGTATTTGTTTACGTCTGATCCTTTATGCCAAATATGGATTCCGTCACGTGTAAAATTAGTTTTTTCTTAGTGTGAATGTTTGCACCATTAAACACTGTGAAGACCATACAAAATCTGTATATTTTTGGAGCGGAAAAACATTATTTATTCAAAAGGGATATGTTTGTAAGAACTGGAACCCATGGATAGAATTTCCATTTGTCGCAATTCGTCAGAGGCTTACTGTACTGAAGTGGCGTTTGACACAGGTTTGATCTTCATGACGCGTCACACTGAATAATCCAAGGGGTTAAGATCGGGGTTGGATGGCGGCCACACATCTTTCGGTCAGAACAGTAGTGCGAGTGGTTCGAGGTGTGGAATGGTGCCCTGCCTTGCTGAAAGACCACATTCGGCTCCGGTCCATATTGCTCAGTAATTCACGGAAGGACATATTTTCTGCCGTCATACATCTTCGTATTC